CTTTCTTTATATTTCTCTGTGCTATATTATAAAACAAAAAGAAAAATCATAAGCGTGTCGTGGTTTTATATGTGATAAAAAATCACGTTAATTTACATAAACTTTAGCTTTGATTTTCTCGGTTTAGACAAAGTTTATTTTAAAAATTATTTCGCCAATGAACTCGTATAAGATGAGTCGTTTTTGAAGCTTTGGGTTAGGGCTCTTTGGGCTGGTAGTCGTGTTTTATCACATATAAAACACTCCGCTACGCGTCGTGTTTTATATGTGATAAAACACTCCTACGCGTGCTTTAAATAGTACATATAGTTATATCAACACTCGTGGAAATTCGGGAAAACTTGAAATTGTGTGAAAACACGGTGGCGTGTTTCCATACAATTTCTCGTCTTCCCACACACGTGTTGATGTAACTGTACAGTATATCAACATGGAAAATGTTTTATATTTGTTAAATACACGACAGAATTGGTATAATCCCTTTTAAAAGTTGTTGGTTCACCTATGTGCCGTTCTATATAAATCATTATTCAATCAATGCAACTGATTAGACACGTTTATCTCTTACCCCACCCCCAATCAATGCGTTTTTTTTTCAATGATAGCACAACCAAATAAGGTAACTGGGGTGCAACATTGAATAGAAAGGGCGGGGAATCAAACGTTGTTCAAATAATAGGCTTTGCATGGGGGATATGTGTCGGTAGTCTCACCCAGGAAGGACAGTCGTTCATCTGTGAGGCTAACAATCGATGAACGTTGTCTCGATTGTCCGATTGTCTACAACAAATGCCTGATTTTCCTGTGGTTTATACAAATACGTACGTTTCTTCCTAGGACAAAGTTTCCAAAATGTGAGCAACTTTTTGTCCAATATTCCATATATTACTGGATTTACTGAATGCGAACCAGCAACTCTCAGAACATTAGCAACATATTCCATTATTAAATGACGTTCTTCAGCGACTTCCAACATAAGGGCAACAGACATAGGAATATTTGCAATTCCATAACATATAACGGTAACAAGACAAACAAGAAATGTTCGTCGATTTCTGATATATCTCAGGACACTGGAGGAAGAAGCAGGAACATTTCGACTCACCGGATATGAACGCACGCTTTTCATGTGTTTATTTTGTTTGACGAGTGCTCGATTTATTTTATAATAAACTACAGCCATAAATGTTGTCGGAGCAAAATAGCAGACTACTATTGTGTATACGTTAGTAAGTTTCAAATAAAGTGCCTGCGTAAAGCAATCCGGTAGAAATACTCCATACCCCGCAAAGAGACCAAAAATGTACACCAAACTACAAACGCGTTTCAATTTCCGTCGACTAATGGCAGGTTTCAATGGGTGCACCGTAGCACGATAACGAAGCAATGAAATTACCAACATCATACATACTCCTGCGAGTTGAAAGACGTAGTATATACTAGTTAAACCACAAGACATGACGGAATGAGTAAAAAGCGATTCATAGCAGTAACTACCAATACGATCCACAAGATAAATGATCAGTACTCCCAGATCACAGATCGCAAGTTGTAAGACTAGAAAATAGTACCTGTTCTCCAACACAGTCCTTTGTCTTAGTATGGAAATGACAACCAAAATATTACCGATAGTGCAGAATACAAGTACCACAAAGTCAGAATATCTGTACACATCGTATGTCATCCCCATTGTTTGCTTCAAGAAATTTTGAGCAGTAAACTTTCGTTGCTGAAACACTGTACAAGATCATTCTGGTAGCTCAAGGCCAATCAGTGGATACGCAACACGGAACAAGTGCCAAATGAATCTCATTATTACGTGCTTAATACAGATGTATACTTATTAGTTCACCTGCATCTAAGGACCGTAACGGAAAGGGCTTGTATTCTCGCAAAACTCTAAAATATGATTGGTTAGATCAGCGAATATATGCTAATCTAAGCTGACCAATTTCCGGACAAATTCCGTTCGCATGTTGCAATAGTTGACATACACGGAAGCACATAAGCGAACGTAAAGCCTCATTAATATCATTATCATGACTTAACCTACGTAAAATTGGTGATTCTTATTGGATGCTGATCCTCTTTTCGTGTTGGGCATATGATAGGGTTCATTCTGGTCTTGTAAAGTTAAATTCAAGGAGTAATTAAGGAGTTCTTAAGTTCTAAAATACTACTTTTCAAGGAGTGTTTGAGATGTTTTCTTTCAAGGAAAATGAAAACATATACAAAATGGCGGGAATATCGAACCCAGATCAAGCCCACGGTTGATTGACCAGTGTAGCTTCCAAACGAAATTCTTGGTGTGATATTGACGAATTTAACGATTTGTTTCCGACGCCGGTTTTTGCACGAAATACCTATGGCAACTAACAAAAGTTAATACTATGGTTTCACTTACTATTTAGCAAAATATTTTAAGAATTCAAGGAGTATTTAAGGAGTTTTTGTAAAACTGCAAATTTCAAGAGTTTTTCAAGCGCCCCTGAAAAGTTCAAACTTATTCAAGTAGTATTTAAGGACTTAGGGAGTAGCACGAACCCTGTATGATAATTGTTTGTCTCCATGATGTCTTTAATTTATATAGCTATTGTAAAATATGGTGCACAGAATTGTTTGAATGCAGTTGTAAACACTGAATTATTTGCAAACAGTTTTAAATTATTCACAATATAGCTATATAAAATGGCATTTAATACTACGACAAACACCTATTATTTTCGACTACAAACTTCACGATCGCGCTCTTGAAGCTGTAAACATCGCCAAGTATCTCGGAATACAACTTTCTGAAGATCTCAGATGGAATGAGCATGTGAGAAACATCTCAAATAAAGCCAATAAGACACTGGGCTTTCTAAAGCGGAATCTACGACACTGTTCCGCAGCTACGAAGGAGAGGGCATATAAAGTCCTGGTATACAACCAACAGTTGAATACTGCTCTTCTGTATGGGACCCATGCACAGCCAAGAACATCAGACAGGTGGAGATGGTTCAGAGAAGAGCAGCTAGATGGTCCTCTGACTCCTCTCCCGTTACGGTCGTCAGGATAGTGTTACTGTCATGTTGAGCTGCCTTGGTTGGAAAACATTGCAATCGCGAAGGACAATCGCTCGCTTGACAATGCTTTATAAGCTCAGAAATAACTTAGCTAGTATAGATTCTTGTGTGCTACAACCGATCTACTCGTTCATCTGCCCATGCACGCATATAGAATACCTACCGTTAAGTGCGATTATTTTAATTAAATATTTTTTCATACCAAGAACCTTGCAGGAGTGGAATAAACTGCCCAGCCAAGTAGCTTTAAGTGAAACACTTAAATCCTTTAAAGGAGCTATTTCAAAAATGTATTAGTTAGTGTCTAAAATGGTGTGTGTCTGAAATGTGTTTATAATGTATTAGTTATTTTAGTTATAGTATATAATGTTCATAATTGAATGTAGACTTATAGGGTAAATAAATATGCAGTTACCGCTATATTCTTCGCTATGTCCCTCATAAATATACTATATGTGGTTCAACTGGAGGAAGAACTCTTTAAAGGCACAGTTCAGCCTTTTGAGTGGTTTTTAAGGCGCATTACAACCATTTTATTTGAAAAAACTAACTAGGAAAATCAATCAAGCATAATTCAAGATCAGTGAACTCAATGTTTTTAACATTAAAAATGTTAAAAAAAAGTTAAAATGGATTGATTTTCCTAGTTAGTTTTTCAATTAAAAGGGTTGTAATGTGCCTTAAAAACCATCATTCAAAAGGCTGAATTGTGCCTTTAAATTAGATTGATTGTAAAAGATGAAACTGTATAATTTTCACTATTTTTTAGATCACTAGCCACTAGCTAAGGACTTGAAAAGACTTGCACCACTATAGGATATGATGATCGGTTTTAACTATAAGAGCAATGGGGGCCTCAAGTTGGTAGGTAGATAAACCCTCATAAAATTTACAAAAATTAGGGAGTATATCTATTGTCTATTTACAACATTTACATATATATATATATATATATATTTACATATATATATATATATATATATATATATATATATATATATATATGATTATAAATCAAAATTCAAACTTTCAAGTTTACTTAAAAAGGTTATATTACACGAGGTATATATGACATTACATATATATAAAAGAGAACATTACTGAGTAGACCTTGTGTTAGCAATGGACAGTTCGCGACAATAAGTAGTGCATGTTATTATCATAGCATGATCAGTTGCCGTAGCTAGCTAAATACTTAGTTGTATAAATGCATGAAGTTATAGTTGTTAGTTTTTTGCTATTTGATGTTAACGCATTGTTCTTGGGTTCGCAGTAATTGGCCAATCGCTGTTGCGAATACCCTGCCATATAGTCTATTTAGTTAATTCGTTAAATTATTACTTTGTAATAACTGTTAAGACTATTTGGTGAAGTTAATAAATTAAATAAGCAAACATACTAACAGATCAACTGGTAATGACGTCGTTTGATCGTCAATGGATCTGTGCATCTTATTACATACATTTATATCTCCCCTTCCCCCTGCTTCTCCTCAGTCAGTGTTGTTTCCCCAATCCATTTTCCCATTTCTCGTAACAAAAATACGTTAAAATGCCTGCGTAAAGCATTCAGGCAGAAATGCTCCATAACCCGAAATACAACCAAAAATGTACACCAAACCACAAATGACTTTCAATTTCCGTCGACTAATGGCACGTTTTAATGGATGCACCGTAGCACGATAACGAAGCAATGAAATTACCAACATCATACATATTCCTGCGACTTGAAAGACGTAGTATATACTAGTTAAACCACAAGACATGATGGAATAAGTAAAAAGCGATTCATACCAGTAACTAGCAATACGATCCAAAAGGTAAATGATCAGTACTCCCAGATCACAGATCGCAAGTTGTAAAACAAGAAAGTAGTGCCTGTTCTCCACCACAGTTTTTTGTCTTAGTATGGAAATGACAACCAAAATATTACCGAGAATGCCAAACACAAGTACTACAAAGTCAGAATATCTGTAGATATCGTATGATGTCATCGCCATTGTTTCCTTCAAGAAATTTTCAGCAGTAGACTTTCGTTACTGCAATACTGTACACAATCAACCTGGTATTTATTCAGCTGGTTCTCACGAAACACGGAACAAGTGGCAAATAACTTTCATATGTAAGACGATACAGATGTATTCTGCCCATAAGAACCCTACGCATAACGATATAAAATTAAAGATTTACATTTTTTTGCGATACGATCAAATGCGCTTTACATCAAGTATTACACTTACCAGTAATTACTCACTTAGCCTAGACTATTTTATCTTTACAACAATTGTGAACTACTCTCTTAATTGTGTTTATCCTAACCCACCATGTCAACTTTCCCTGTGGGAGCAAACTGGAACACCCGGAGAAAACCCACGACTTTCGGCAGAGCGTTAACAGAGTCTTTTCACAGGAGTCCGCAGCGAGAATCGAATCCATGATCTCTCGTGAAAGGCGCTTGATCGTCACTGGATCTGTGCATCTTATTACATACATCTATATCTCCCTTCCCCCACTTAGGCCCCAGTTACACGCTACCGGATTCGTATCGGTGCGATATTAATTTAAGGTGTTTTCCAGGCTTGTCTGCTCTTACAACTTTTCATATTTGAAGCTTTTGTTTAATTATGGTATATTATCATAATTTTAAGTGCCGAATTTACCGCGAAGCAGTAAAATTTGATGTCCCGCTGATGCCGCACTTCGTGTCCTCAAATTTCCCTAGATGTACACGTACGTCATGCTCATGCTTTATTGCGGCCTTTTTGGATCGAAACTTGTGGATTAAACAATCAAGAGCATAATTGTGAAAAGCAATAAAAGTAAAAAAAAAAATTGTTGAAGTTGTTGAAAGCAATAGGCAATTCCAGCTTTTAGTTTATGCGTGCAGGGGGTGATGGGAAGTAATTAAGGTCTCATATTGCCGATTATGCTGAAAAAATAAAAATGGTGGCCGTGGAAACACGGAGTGATAGCTTATACTTGTAAATATTGAAATATTTCGGTTGTTTCGGCAGTTTTTATTGAAATTTTTCAGCATAATCAGCAATGTGATACCTTCCCCTGCGCGCATGAACTAAAAGCTGGAATTGCCTATTGACGAAAAGTTGTAGAAAAGGTGTTGAAAGCAATGACGTATTACCAAATGACGAATAACCACGCGAACGACACTTGCTAGGAAGATGGCGACCATGGGAGACATGGTACAACTTTTTTACTAAAGTTACACATCTGTCCTTACTTAATCTATGCCCCCTGCTTCTCCTCGATCAGTGTTGTTTCCCTAATCCACATTTCTCGCAAGAAAAATAATTTGGAAACTCGTAAAACACTCGGCCGGAATATATGTCAAAGGTCAAACCTGATTACAGTATATGTCAATAGACAACCCCCAAATCCTTTTTTGACTGTATTTGTCTTTGCTATTGTGCATGAAATGGAAACTGCTGTGTCTGTAGCAATATGATGTAATACGATCTCGCTGCGCTATTGTAAACACTCAATGGGAAAGTCCCTTGATAAAACACCCCGGTATAGGAGGATAACTATCTATATTCATGCATTTAGCACGCTCTATCTGCGATCAAACGCGCATTTATCTTTCCTTATTTTGATATAATGGCTTGAGCATTAGCTGTTGTAATGAAATGTTGTGCCCCATGTATGTATATTCAGCCATTTTCAATTTTTGCCATGTCACTATCGTATGGTGCCAATCAAAACGAAAGGGAAGCTCCCTCAAATATTTGAATACGTTGTCTGCATGAGGTAAATGTTTTAGTTCAGTTCGAGATTTTGTAGCGACCGGTAGCTCTGTTTTGCGATGGCATTCAGTAAGACTTTGAACGGCCAAATTTGGGAATATATTGAGAAACGTGATAGCAAGGAGCAAAGGAAATTACTAGAATGGCAACTGCAAGCAAGAGAGCCGATCTACGAATTCTCAGACATGAAAGTGGGCGATCATTTGATCAAGAAGAAATCGGTCTGCGGTATGGTTTTGTACTACCATCATTTTCTGTGCATCGGATCAGAAGGCGACGGACGGCCAACGATTATTCACTATTCTAACACTGCGACAAACGCGCTCCGACAGTTTCGTAAAACGTTCGGTTTTGGCTCGGGTTCAGCTCTTGGACAGCTCGGTATTGTGCAGGAGGTGACCTTGCCACATAAAGATTTTATCGAAAGCGAAAGTGAATTACAAAAGAAAGGCGCCGAAGTCGAAAGGGTAGTTTGGCCCGACGAACTGAGACGCTATCCTATAGAAGAGGTAATGGAAATTATACATTTAAAATGTTTTTTTCTATGAATTAAATTTATAAGGCTGCATTAAATTTACATACTAATGAATAGGGATTCCCCCATTTCCGCAGCAAAAAATGTAACAAAATATAGTAGTTTAAAATGGCAATTTAATCGCAGTACATTTAGGCAGAGGTCATATAGATTGATTCAGTTGAATACTCATCATGCATGCTGTACTGTATGTTAATCATACGGCGGTTAGTCGTTTGAGGTTTGCATTCTGACGTTTGATACGATGGCCGAGAAGGGCCATGACTGTAAACACTCGCCGTTTTTTTTTACCATTACACTCGTCGTTTTATTCCCTTCAAAATTACACTCGCCGTTTTTTTCTTCAGAATTACACGCGACGTTTTTTCAGTTATGATGCAATAATTACACGCGACGTTTTTTCAATGCAATATTAATACACGCGACGTTTTTTCAATGCAATATTACACGCGACGTTTTTTCAATGCAATAATTACACGCGACGTTTTTTCCAAAAATTACACTCGCCGTTTTTTTTAGAGTTACGTTTTAAACTGAGGGTTTCACTTCGGACGAAGATGGGAGCAATTATGTAAGGTTATGTGTGTTTCATCAAAACTAAAAATCATGTAAATACATGAGTACAAAATTTCACTTTTCAGTCAGTTAATTATGAATATATACTGTAATGCATTGTTTTCTTTTGTGTTTTCCAAACTATATAAACAAAAGCTTTGTGTGTTTTGAAAACAATGCATTAATCATCATTCATAACCGACTGAAAGTGAAATTTCATGGCCAGAAATCACGGACATGATTATTCTACCTTACTAACTTTGCATATCCGATTTAATACATAACCCGTTGAAATATGGGTTCGATAGCAAACAGTTGATTCTATTACGCGATGCTTCAAATCGCAAAATCAGAGATTATTGGTAGTCGTTTGCAGTTTGCCTCGATTGCTGGTTGCAGAACACGGTGTATCGTGTAGTGTTTGCCTGGTGTAAGTTACTTCCTATTCTGCATTTTCGTTTGTTTCTAGTGGCTATAGACAGTGCGGTATCCTTTAATATATATAAAATATAAATAGACAAATTCCGTACAAACTAACCTCTGTAGAAAAACTGAAAATGCAGAATGGTCACTAACTAAAACCAAGTGGCAAAATTACGCTAAATACTTCGACGTACAGACTTGATTTATAGCCAGCGACTGAAGCAAGCTACAAACGACCTACCATATTCTCGGATTTTGGGATTTACAGCATCGCGTAATCAATAATTTACTGTTTACTGCAGAAGCCATATTTCAGCGTGATATGCAAATTTGATGTCTGGTCACATGTGTACTGTATTTACATGAGTTTTAGTTTTGATGAAACACACATGACCTTAAATGATTGCTCCCATCTTCGTCAGAAGTGAAACCCTCAGTTTAAAACGTAACTCCAAAAAAACGGCGAGTGTAATTTTTGGAAAAAACGTCGCGTGTAATTATTGCATTGAAAAAACGTCGCGTGTAATTATTGCATCATAACTGAAAAAAACGTCGCGTGTAATACTGAAGAAAAAAACGGCGAGTGTAATTTTGAAGGGAAAAAAACGACGAGTGTAAAGGTAAAAAAACGGCGAGTGTTTACAGTCATGGCCCTTCTCGGCCATCGTAGTTTGATCTTTATTGTAATTTAGAGACACGTTTGGTAGGCCAAATTGGGCTGTATAGAAATTGCGAAGTTTCACAAACATACTAGCTTGCCATTTACGGCAATATATTCAAAATTATGATCATTGTTATCATTTCACAGTCAACAAGCAAGCTATTTTTCGCTAGACATTTGTAATCTGTATTAAAATATTCACTAATAATTTATGAAAAAGTTGAAAAGAAATTAATGTTTATAAATATATGTGGCTTACATTTCGACATGCATGGTTTAAAGAAACTTTACTTTCGATTCAAGTTGGCTAAAACAAACTGTCTATACTGTATATGCATGGATGCATTCGTGTTAAGGTTACAGGACAGCCTTTTTGGCGTTTTGCGGAAAATCGCTACTGCGTGCTCAATATATCAATCCGATTTTCGTCAAATTTTCACCAAATGTTCGCCAGTGCATGCAAAATATGATAAAGTTGTAAAATTGACAAACCATCAAATAACGTGAGAATTATCCCGGAAAATCTTAAATCACGGTACCTTTACGCTTTTGAGTTGTTTTCCTGCTGATTTTAAGATATATTTATGAAAATATCATTTTTATGCAGTAAAATAGTTGTTCTAAAAAAGGTGTTGGGAAATTTTTGTTTACTTCGTCATTCCGCTGATATGGCGAATTCTTTGACGACTGCAATATATTTCTTAATCGTTCGAGTGAGATACAGATAGTAGAACTAGTCTAATGCTTTCATGGAAACCAATAAATACATTTTAGGCAAAATTAACACTCAAAGGGGTTCTGTAACCTTAAGTAAAATCGCCTTCGGTGAGATACAGATCGGATGCATGCCGATGCTTTATATATCAAATGCCTCGTGTTTCGAAAGACCTTATAGACCTTGAACTATACAAACACTTTGCACACAATGTCACTAAATTCTCCTCAAGTTTCATGTACGTACTAATACGTAGACAACGTTTGGTAAATTGCTCATCCAAATTATGATAGCATTGTCCTTAGCATTACAACACGTACACAAACAAACCGAGGTAAAATAGGACCTCCTGGAAGAGTTATATAGTCGTGACTTCTCTCAGCTTTTCCATTACCAGAGCAATAAAACTCTAACTTTGTTAACTAAAGCTGTACTTTTTCGCTTTTGAAAGGTCATTAAAAGAGCCAGAAAACGAAAAGATGAAAAATACTATCAATTGGCAAAGAATAACTGCGAATCCTTCGTAATGTGGTGTTTGTGTGACCTTAATATTAGCCTGCAATCTACCCCCCTGGTTCTCTCACTCACCGAGATTGGTGGTGGTGGTCTCAGGACGTTCTTCCAAATGTGGCAGCAAGTACCTAAGGTGGTTACGGAGTGTATTGAGAAAGGTCTGGGCCGCACCGCGTTCGGGAACGCGATTGGTAAAGAAGGAATGGAAGGCATTTCAGGTACGGATGCCCTATACAGCTAATACAATTAAGGTTGTCCTTGCAAAAACGTAAACCTTAAACTCTGAGCGTGCAATTTATCATAAACTTTGAAATTTGGCTTTGAAAGAATACCTAAGACATATAGAAGACTCACGATATATATATATATATATAGTTTCGTACCACAAAATGTGGCACTCTTCAGATAATTGATTGTTGTACCTTAATTTAAATATGCTCTGGTGCTCTGGTTTTGCATTGAGCACTTTACCAAGAGTTTTTATAACCAACGAAACCAAATGTTATATATATATGCGACGAACGTTTCATTTTGATACGCGAATACACCCGGAAGTACGTGGATTTATCAACCTCTCTTCAATATGCGCATGCTCGCCAGTACGTTTCGGTACGTACGGTTGAAGTGGGAAACTGGCTTTAGCCACGGTCAAACACGAATGAGAGTTGATAAGAGTTAGCAGTCACGAGGGACATTTGTTACAAGGGACATTTCTAGCTTCAGATTTACAAAATAACGTGATGAGTGTTTCAACTATACGATTTAACTAAAATAAAATACATGATAGTAATGCACAGGAAAGCATCAAGAACAGCTAACCAAGGTCGCATCCATGGTCGTCCCCCAGTTTGTTGGGCAAACAAAGCCAGTCGGACAATATTCGCTTCACAGTCGGGCAATATTTATTATAAAAATAAATGGGACAAATTCTGTCAATTTTGTGGGAAATTCTGTCAATTTTGTGGGAAATATGCTATCTAATAGGAATTTTTCGTAATCATTTGGAAACAATTTCGAACAATTTCGGAAAGTTTCTCCGGAAAATTTTTTTGACAACTCGGGCACAATCCGAAAAAGTCGGCCAAATTTCTTTCCGCCCCCCTAATTTTTTCCTTCCCGTACGCCCACGGTCGCGTCACTGCAAACTCTCATGCACTCACATCCTCGTTTGACCTGGGCTTTATGTGTTGTTAAAAAAACCCAGACTTGCTACAAACGTACTGAGTTCTACGAAAACATGGTGACATGAATAAAGAGGAAAAATTAATAGATTTATGCAGGGATCGAACGATTTCATTTAGTTCCATTTTCCCCACCGCATGTATAACCGAGGCATATATAATTACACTAAATATAAACAATACCAAACTTTTGCGAAACCTCTAAAATGTTTAAACGATAAAATTAAAGATATGCCTTACAAATATTTTCAAAATTCCAAAAGATCTCTTTAAGATCCGAATGATCGAATAATAAATCTCATAATCCTGAACTCAGGGAACACTAACCAATCACATTGCAGAACAAAAACAGAAAAATCAACAAACGGCGCATTGGCCAATCTGCATTAGGCCAAAAACAATTTTAGCAAATAAACGAATGTCAAACGGTAAAAATAGACTTGAAAAGTAACACTGCAGTTAATGGCTTCCTAAAGCGAACTTCATGCTTTCTTTTGATTGGACGAGCTGTAGTTTGATTAGTTTTCTATTTTTGTTCTGCAATCTGATTGGCTAGGTTCTCTAAGTGGCTCCACTCACTGTGGACGCACTGTAAAATAAAATAATTTTAACCTTCCAGGTCTTGGTTCAATATTTGGAGCGGCTCTCACAGCGATTATTGAAATTGGGATTGCAGCACATACCATTTACGAGGCGAAACAGAAATGGAATGAAGGAACGCTGATAAGTTCCAGGGAAGAATTCATCAAGGAGGTTATTGACGCGATCGTATTGGCTCTGTCTCGGTCTGGCGCCAGTATTGGGGGTATGATTATCGGTCAATGCTTCCTCCCTATCCCTTTTGTTGGCAGCTTCGTTGGTCTGTTAATTGGAACTCTGGTTGGGCACATTTTTGGAAAGGGAATCTCGCAGGGCTGTTCATCATATCTCGCTTCTGCTGTCGATAAGCTTACGGAGGGTAATACAGCTGGTGCGGGAACAAAAGTGGATTAAGTCGGATATGTCAGGTGGCATTATTATTACCAAAATTGCAGATGCCTCTTTTCGTTTGAGAAAACACGTCATGTTTCACGTTAAAACATTCAGCAATTTTTGCTGCGATTTTAGGTGCGATTTTCGTCTTCTGATGGATGTAAATTACAAGTGGATGAGTTACGAACGTTTAGATGAGGGTGCATACAGCTATTTCATTTTAGGTTGTCCTCGGGCAAAGCGGAAAGTCGAATACGAGCGCGAAAGGCTTGCTGGAAATCGAAAAAAATAATAAATTAATGAATTTTTAGCGATTCCCAGCAAGCCTTTCCCGCTCGTATTCGACTTTTCCGCTTTGCTCGGGGACAACCTTAATTGAAATAGCTGTATACTAAGAACATTCATAACCTATCTCCTCGTTCACATCCATCAGAGGAGGAAAATCGCACCAGAAATCGCAGCAACAATTTCAAGTGTAAACGGGCCTTAAAGTCACAGTTCAGCCTTTTGAATGATGGTTTTTAAGGCGCATTTTCAGCCCTTTTAATTGAAAAAAACTAACCGGCTGGGAAAATCAATTATGTATAATTCAAGATCAGTGAACTCAATGTTTTTAACAATAAAAAGGTTTTAAAATGTTAAAAACATTACGTTTACTGATCTTGAATCATTTTCCTGGTTATTTTTTTCAATCAAATGGTCTGAAATGCGCCTTAAAAACCATAATTAACTCCTTCTCAGCAGGGGCCATTACGAGTAGAACGTGCACGTTCTACGGATGTAATTCGTTCATATCTTTGGTTCAGTGCACGCTATGTAAATGAAAATACTACCATTCGATTCAGTATAAAAATATACACTAATTTATAACGATAGTTTTAGTCAGTGGCTAAATTGTAGCGACTTATGAGCTTTGAAAGTCAAGCGAGCTTGGTATTTGATCAAATTACACAATATTACTAACAAATTATAAACGGTTAGCACTATTTTCCATCCAGCAAACTGACCTGGCGTCATTTTCGCAGGTGTTAAATGGCTATGTAACTAACCCAAACCCTACCCCTACCCTAACCCCTAACCCTAACCTCAACCCTAACTCTAACCCTAACCGAATTAATGAAAAAATCCAAAAAGAAACGACTTTACAAAATCGATAGGGCGGTTTGCTGGATGGAAAAAAGTGTTAACCATTATAAACATAGACATACCTTTCGCCGAACATAACTTCGGCCCCTTGAGACGTATGCTCATTCTGGTAGTCTTGCTGAATGAAGCAGTTAAAAATAACATGTATACTGTTATTTTCAAGCTTCTATCTTTAAAATACGAGTTTTCGTGCCGAATTTTGCATTTCTGCCCCGAATTTGCGTTAATCCAACCGGAAATACGACGAAAAACCGTCAAAACAATGCGTAGTTTGTATCGCGTGACTCTGGAAATGCCAGAAATGGATTCTACAGGTCAAAGTGCACCCATACGCGTGAGTTTGACGTCATCCCGGCTAAAGGGAGCTCCTTATTGGCCAAGTATTACGTAATACAAGTGCGTGCGAGTAAAACCCGATACCTTGAAAAATTCAAAATAAATATTTCTACTCGCCGTATTCATACGAAACTTTCTACACTAAAGCGCTTGAATACAAAGAGTATTTTGCACATATATCCTTTCAGAAAATGACGCCAAATTTTAGAATATATTCAACTTTTTCTCTTTTTCCCATTTGAATGTTTGGCGAAGCCGTGAGTATAAATATATGATTGTTTCGGTTTGTGTAATGTTTTGACGGCACTTGACCCCCCGTTCGAAAGGTTATATTGTGAGGATTTCAATGGTAGCATTTATTTAATAGGGGGGTAAATACTCACCGATATATTTATATTAGAAAAATTGTATCGAAATGTAATACGAAACCGGTTGTCGAGAAAGAGTTTTAAAAAGGCTGAACTGTGTCTTTAACGTCGTGAAATCGACATCGTGGCAATGGCGACATCTGACTGGTCCGCGATAAATTGTACTGAGATTTGGTAATAATAGTTCGACATTTCATCAGAAAAAGGCGTAGAAATGTAGTGTCGCATTCCTGAATGTTGTGACACTAAAACACGGCACGTTTTTTCGGGCAACACGAAGCATCTGCTGTTTTTGTAATAAAGCCCCGGTCAAACGAGGATGAGAGTTGTGAAGCTAGTTTGTATGACAGTTTTCTCAACACTTATACGCTTGTCAAACGAGAGAGTTGACTGAAATTTACTGAAACGAGATAAAACTCTCATCAAATTGGAAGAGAGTTGCAACTCTTATCCCACTCACATCCTCGTTTGAGACCTGATAACATTCCTTACATTATGGTTGAAACTTATTGTTTAAGATCCGCTTTGTGTCAAAACAATGTAGTTATTCTGAAGTCGTCTCGAAACTGTGGGAGTTTTCCATAATAGACAGATATACGTATTAGAGGGTGTCCCTATTAGAGATGTGTCCGTATTAGAAAGAGGTCCATATTAGAAAAGTGCCCTAATAGAGAGGTGTCTGTATTAGAGGGGGGTCCGTATTAGAGGGGTGTCTGTATTAGAGGGGGGTCCGTATTAGAGGGGTGTCCGTATTAGAGATAACTGTATTAGAGAGGTGTCCCTATTAAAGAGGTATCTGTATTAGAGAGGTGTCCGTATTAGAATGGTGTGCGTAAGGAAAGGTTCAATTGTATATTTATAAATAATTGTATTTAATTCATTTAATAAGAACCTGACATCCGTACGACTAAATATAAATACCGTTATATAATGTACTGTTATATATTTATGTGTTTGTATATGTTACTTGTTATCGTAATATTAATTCGCTTATTCAAATTGTCACTTTCTAACCGTTCATGCATGTCTTCTTATACCTTTGTGATGTATCCGTCATGAAAATTAAAGCAATTAAACATATTGTATCATTTTAATGGTCCAGCATTCAATTGATCTTCTGTATGCCCTAAATCGTCCGGGTTTTTCCAAGCAGCCAAAAATACTTTGCAGTTAACTTTGTGCAATATATTCTGGTAAAACCTTTGCCGTATCGATAACGCAAAACCATGCAAGGGGTTGTTTAATCTCATATTAATCTACATTATTTGTCTTCATTGAAATCTGACAGTATATCGGCCTATTAATTTTGCAAAAACTCTTTCTAATACGGTTTGAGAAATCTTGCTCGCAGAATTGCAGCCCGAAATGTTTGAAAAATTGCAAATCCAATTTTGACCCAAATAGACCTGTATCATGCTGTTTGAGTCATGCTGTCACTCTTAAATACCAGAAATGAAAAAAGCAGGTCAAAAGTTAGTAAGTACACAAATTGTGGTGGCTATATATTTTAAAAACTGCGGCACTACTCTACTGGCATGTTACAGAAAACTTAATAAGGAATGTAAGGGAGTCTCCAAATTTTGTGTACTAATTAATTTTGTTCTGCTATTCACAGAGTGCTAACATCAAATTTTCGACTCAAAAAGCGTGATAAAGGTCTATTAAACCAAACTTTTACCGATTTATCTTTGGGCTTGACCTACGCGACGGTCATTAGCCGTAGCCATTTATGAACAATCCTGGTATAACAGACAAACAAACACCCACGAACAAACAAACAATCAAAGCCGAGGTGAAAACATAAACATCAGGAAAAGCCAGAACTAATCATACAAGATTTGACATGAAACTTCTGTTCATTAATAATATATTCTCCCTACTTCCCTAGGTGCCCATATCAATCCTGCAGTAACCCTAGGGTTCGCGTCAGTGCAACGATTCCCACTGTGGAAGGTTCCAATCTACATATTATCACAAATGTTGGGAGGAATTATATCTGCTGCTTTTGTTTATGCCATATATCACGGTATGTACTGTAAAAAATATGTCTCGATATATAACACCGAGCAGGGGGAATGATGGCCAAGGGGAAATCCCCCCCCCCCGAGTTAGTAGTAGTAGTAGAACTTTATTTATCCACGCTGACCCCGTCAACCGTAGCTGATTTCCACGGGGGGCGTGTGCCAGAAAATTATTTTACATGCAGAATATGATAAGGATAAGCTAAGCTATAACAGTAATATATAAATTTAAAAGATATAACAAATGTTTTGAGTTATTTACAGGTAAGTTATATTTACAAAGGTTACCAAGCACTAATGTGAGCAGCGATTTTATTTCGAAAGGAAGAAAGTGACTTGCTTTCCCTAATTTCTTTTGGTATAGAATTCCAAATGTTTGCTCCGTCGTACATAAAACTATTTTTCATGCTATTTGTACGTGGTTTTGGTAAATAAAGACCACTTGAGACATCCCGAAAGTGGTAATTAGTTTTCTCACTCTTAAACGAAAATAGATTTGTGAGTGATTTTGGGCCCATTTTGTTTAATAACTTATACATCATTCTTGCTTTAGTTTTCTTCCTTTCAGTTTGGAGTGGCTCCCAGCCCAAAGTACGTAAAGCAATCGTATAATCTACGTCATTGCTTATATTCAGAATAATTCTTGCCTATTTGCAGTTTTTGCAGTCCTGGTAAAACTAGCATTTTAATGGAGAGGGATTCTATTACCTGAAAAATACAATCAAAATTTCGACGTTTCGAGCGAAGACCCATCTTCGGGAAGCTAGAGAGTTGTCTGCATTAGAGAGGTGTCCGTATTAGAAAGATGCCGGTATTAGAGAGATGTCTGTATTAGAGAGGTGTCCGTATTAGGGAGATGCCGGTATTAGAGAGATGTCTGCATTAGAGAGGTGTCCGTATTAGAGAGATGTCTGTATTAAAGAGATGTCTGTATTAGAGAGGTGTCCATATCAGAAAAGTGGTGCCAACTTCCCGATTTTCACTATTTAAATGTCATGGTTCGAGGTCTAAAATTGCGTTGAGAATTGCAGCAAAAAATTGCCTATTGCAACACGGCCTTAACGGTATAAATGGACTATATTGAGTCAACATTGTTGACACACTAAATTCGCATCCCATATATTATTTCTCAAAGTGCGCCCTCCAGGCCAAATGGTTATCGTTTGTGCCATTACTATATTTAAAATTATTGCTTAAGTATCGTTAACACAACGTATTACGTCATTATTTAGATGCAATTGAGGAGTATGATGACGGAACTCGACAGGTTCTCGGCCCGAAAGGCACGGCGGGAATATTTGCAACATACCCGCACGAATTTGTCAGCAACATGACAGGCTTTTGGGACCAGGTATTTGAGATCAATAATTTTAATAGAATAGCTTCAGTAAATGATTTTCTAGATACGAAACCTTTTATCATCTTACAAGAAGGTTTAAGGAGTTTGGAATGTATTTCTTATTAAACTTCATCTTGTCTTTATAATATGGTAGGCTACCAAGCCGGTACGGTTAAGCGAGATTCCGCTTCGTATTATCTGCAGTCTTGGTTATCTGCAGTATTTCCAATATCAACGGAACTATCCAGGCTGCATGCCTCACCTAACCTAGTCGAGTGTTGATGCTTTGTTCACACAATATAATATTGCATGTAAATGGCATTTTCTGCATGGAAACATTTCGATCCCCAAAGTACTCTATGATTGTCTTTGTGGCTTATAACAGTGAAAGTCCAAACCAGAAGATGAAAGCCGAAGTGACTGATAGACCTTTATAATTTCAGACCTTTATAATTTGTGCACGAATATATCTTTATTTGATCTTGGCCGCAATCACAATCCTATCCCAACCCTATGTTGATCGAAGCACGAGAATAAAACCTAACTTTATAAAAACCCTAACAATTTTACACATATTTCTTTTAATAGTTCTTCAGTACTGCAATGTTGGTCGCGCTTATATTCGCTTGTGTCGACAAAAAGAATGGCAATAAACCCAGTCCAGGCTTAGCTCCTCTGATCATTGGCTTTATTGTGTTTTTGATTGGCATGACATTTGGTTATAACTGCGGCTACGCCATCAACCCGGCCAGGGATCTGGGACCTAGAATATTCACCGCCATGGCTGGATGGGGAGGCGAAGTGTTCACGTAAGAGATTATACTACACTGAACTAACTTTTTGTACTGGATAGCTCTATTATTACTAAAGGCCCGTTTACACGGGCGATTTTTGCTGCGATATTAGTTGCGATTTTCTCCTTTTGGAGGATGCGAAGGAGTAGATTACTTAGTGATGTTGTTATCAGATTTCATCACCTGGAACATTTATAACTGATCTACTCCTTCACATCCTCCAAAAGAAGAAAATCGCAACTGAAATCGCAGCAAAAATCGCCCGTGTAAATGGGCCTTATCAATCCAGAGGTCCAGAATGGGCAATCCCTTATACGGCACTACTCTAGTGTTACTACAATAGGAAAACCAAAACTAAGCTAACTTTATTTATACTTGATAGTTCTATTATTCCTAAACTTCCAGAAGCACAATCCGTCACTCGGCACTAGTTCACTGTTACTAAAGTAGGAAATCTAAACTGAATTAACTTTATTTATTCTGTTTTGGTTCATTGGTTCTAGAAGTTTAGGGGATTTTTAATTTTTTTTTGCTCACTTCTTTATTTTGACTTGAGTAATTTATATATTTTCACTGATGAGAATGTTAAACAGAAATAGGAACATTGATAACTGATATTCCAATTTATATGTACACAGAGCACATGACCACTGGGCATGGATTCCACCAATAGCGTGCAGTCTGGGTGGTATTGCTGGAGCATATCTGTATATTTTTACTGTGGAAATTCACCGTGAGCCAGAGAGTATGGACAGCAACGGTGACACGAATAATGAACGGATTGCTATGGAAGACAATCAGGTGTGTGGTTGGCCAGTTTTGCAGCCTTATTTATCTATTAATAAAACCGGGGATGCTTCTTTTCCCTTGAAAAAAAAGTGTCTTGTTTTCACGTGAAAACATTTAAGAATGCATGTGACTGCATTCTTAAACGTCGTGAAATCGATATCGTGAGAATGGCGATATCTGATTGGTCCGCGAGAAGTCATGCCAAGAAGGCATTCCTCCACGCATGTAAACGCCACAAAATACCTAACGCCACATCCCAGTGGGGTTTACTAGGTATCGTTGTGTGAAATTATACTCTGATGAAGCACCTGTTATGCATGTTACAAGAAATTTAATTTGCACCCTACACCTCTTCAAGTATGGCTGCCACTCAGAAGGTCACATGCGTTTGGCTTATAACAGAAAATTTTAATTTTCAGAAAAATTAAGTTTGCATGTTTTGGCAAATTTGCGCAATTTTCGCACATTATTTTATTTAGCTATTTTATTTATTTGTTTATTTACTCATATTTACTTATCTACTAACTTTGCAAATATAAGTTTGTATATTATCCAGTATTATTTATATACAGTACGTAAAACAATTATTAAAAAATGTCCGTGCAATATTTTTCATTTTATAGAACTGACAACATCTTTTTGGGCAAGCTAAGAATACATGGTCAAACGAAATTGAATCTATTTCTTGACGTGTAATGTAAACTGTTGATGGTATATTTTCATATGAAAAATTCTATGTGCTTTTAAGAAGATTTTATACATTCAAGAATAAAATGAGCATTTCATATATATGCGTGATTATTTTGTATACTCTCAAACCCCCTATAAAATAATTGGTGAAATGTGTTATACTACTATATTTAATTTACCCTTTTCATATTTGCCATTGTTAGAATATGCTCCTGATATTCTGTTGACAATGATAATAAGATTATTAGTTAATGAATGACATTGATTACTATAGATATGTATGTAAAATGTAATCTCTGGATACCACAAATTCCAGTACAAATAGTTGCTCCATGTACCAAACTGTATACCATTTATGGTAATAGAATGTGATATGTCAAAATACTTATTATAGATATAATCTTGTATATATATGTGTGATTTTTATTATTAAATACATTCTTCTGTAAAACTCCAAAGTTGTATGTTGTGCTTCGTATTCGAGAAAGAGCGATGGCAACGGTACAAAACCCAACAGGTTATGGGCCCAGAAGAGGCTTGATTTTTGATGGAGACGAGAACAAGTATGAATTATGGGAGGTGAAGTTTTTGGGATATCTGCGACTCCAAAAACTTTACAATATATTCATTCCTAGCAGTAGCGAAAGAGAGCTAGATGAGGCAAAGAACGCAGATGCCTTTGCCGAATTAGTGCAATGTCTAGATGACAGGAGCTTGGCCCTGGTCATACGAGAGGCGAAAGACAATGGAAGAAAAGCCCTGACGGTTCTGAGAGAACATTATCAAGGCAAGGGAAAGCCCAGAATAATCTCGCTGTACACGGAGTTAACGTCGTTGAAGAAGGCAGAAAATGAGACAATTACGGACTACATCATACGGGCAGAAACTGCCGCGACCGCATTGAAGGCTGCCGAGGAAGTAATCAGTGATGGACTTCTGATTGCCATGGTACTCAAGGGTCTACCAAACGCGTATAAAACGTTTGCTACGGTGGTTATTCAACGAGAAAACCAGATGAATTTTGGCGACTTCAAAATCGCATTGCGTAACCACGAAGAGA